TTCAGAATGATATTTTGGTGTTGTGAAGAACAAAAATATTTTCAATGTATTAGACTGAATTTTGTAAACAAGTCCATTATTATACCACAGGGAGCAAATTTTGGTATAATGCTCCTTGCTTAAAAAAGTAGATCTACCTAATGTACTACTCAAAAAATGGGGACTTTTTTGTACTTCTAAAAAATTTTATTAGTCTTTTAAGACATTCTTAAAATCTGCTAAGTGATGTATTAAATTATTTCAAAGTAGCATGATTTTTATAAGTTTTCTATTTGCCTTTTCAGTAGCTTTGATGCTTTTCCCTTTTAAAAATGCTTATTTTTTCTTTTTTCTTTTTTTAAATACTAGATAAAATTTAAGCCACAGTTTTAAAAATCCCTGAGATAAAGCAATCTGTTTCCAAGGCAAAGTTCATCTTTTCCTTCACACCAGATAATATACTCTCAGGTGTTTTTTAATGGCACATGTTCAGCAAGTAGAGAAATGACTCATGCTTAATTGGCATTAAATCCAGAATTCAGAATTTCATTAACTTAATTCTCAATCAATGGGAGGATAGACCTTCACAGTTTTGCCTCTGTCTTTCTACTCTGAGCATGGAGGGAAGCATACAGTACAATTTGAAAAGATGAACTTTGAAGCAAATATTCATCTCTATTTGATATTGAAAATTATATAAGCAATAGAAATACTGAGGGGCTTATTTGATAATATGGCCTTTCTAGTTGTTAGTGTAAATTTGTGTTCCTGAAGTGTTCTCATTTCTTTTTCTGTTAGCTTGCCCAGTAAAATTATACTTCTTAAAATCTTTATAAGATTCCTGTGTCCTCAAAATGTTGTAGCTAAAACTATTTCCTTCAGTTTTTGTAAAGCAAGGCATTCCAATGAAAAAGATATGATTTTTGAAGAAAAAAAAGCTTACCTGTCAGAAATGCTTTGGCCACACATGTTAAACCACTAAAGTATTTGACAAGGACATAAGTATCTCACAATATCTCATAATAGCTTCAAATATGTCCATTTTTTACGGAAAGGTGTAGACAAGAGGGATATGATTCCTGTGTGAGACTACAAATGGCTCAAAAAGTTTATCTTAAAGAAAGAAGGTAAAAGTCAGGGAGTTTGGAAGAGGCAATTAATGTAGCTTTGTCACATTGGAGTTGCAAGAAGTTCTGTGCTGTCTAGGGATTTTAGAGACGAAGGAAAATCGAAATGTGTTTAAAACAAATACCCTTTTTCCCTGAATGGAGACTATGTTTCTTCACTTGCCTTGCATTTGTTCAACTTAATCACTCATATGGGTACCAAAAAGCAGCACATAAGAATTTGGCAGTGTTTTCATTGTCTCTTTCAGACATTAAATTCCCACCAGAAAATAAAAAGAATTCTGTTGTATGTACATTTTTTGCTGACAATATTCTTGAGTGTGTGAGGGATATTGCATATGTGACTCTATTAAACAAGGCAGGATTAATGTACTGATCAATAAGATGACTCAAAAAATCATCTTTGCAGATAGCTGTGTGTGTACTCAGGTATGTCTGCATTCATGTTTCAAACATAAATTACTATCAAAATGTTGTGGTTTTAGTGCCAAGAATGTAAGATTTTTGGCTCTATTATCATTATTATCTTATAAGCATCGCAGGATCTTTCAGTAAACTGTAACACTCAAATATTAAAAAAGAATAGACCTCTACTATATAACAGAGACTAGAAGAAAGCTTAATATGCCTTGTTGTCACTATTCAAAGCAATTCTATTTCCTTTTCTGCTATTGCAGAGAGAGAATTTTTTCCTTTTAAGTACAGAAAAATTTAAGGCACTTTTATCTGCATGGTGAGCAGTGTCACACATGCACACTCATGTGAAAATGTCACTTTCTGTATTAATTGCTTGTGTAAGAATCACTGGAGCTTTTTCCTCCTATCAGTGTTTTCCCTTTCCTTTTGCACCACCAGCTATTTTTTAATTTTTTTTTTAATAATAACCTGAACTTTTTCGTGTCCTAAATAATCTTAAATATTTTGCTCTTATATCTTGTTATTTAGCAAGACTAGAAGATCTGTACCCTGTCAAGACTAGTAGATCTGTACCTTGTCTTTAGCAAGACTAGTAGATCTGTGCCCCTGACTTTGGGGCCTTCTGTGTCTTCAAAACTCAGTAATGACTTATGGATTTGGTATTGTTCCCTCAGGTTTTGAATTCTAGAGTCTGCTCTCTCCTCTGCCTAAAAATGCTTTCTTTCCTCTCTTTTGGGGGATTTCTGTAAGATTACAAGAGCCCTCTCACACATTAGTTCATTTATCAGATCAAGAAAAATCAACAGATATTTCAGTAACTTCTTTAATGGGACAGAGATATTTGTGTTATTCAGTCCTTCTCTTTTCCCCAAGCCAAAAAGTAGTACAGTACATGGATTCTTACAGAACCCCGAAAATGCATGACAAAAGTTAAAATTATAAGGGATTAGGAGCCAAATTGTGAGGCAAATGCACCTGTGTACAAAAAAAGGTCAAAAGGTCAACCTGGAGAATACAGAGAATTTGGCAGTCAACCAAAGGTCAACCTGGAGAATTTCTGGCAGTCTTACTTCAGCCTATAGGAAGAACTATAGAGTAAACATAGTATTTGTGAAAGGCAGCATGGATTTACCAAGGATAAGTCATGCCTGACCAGTAAGATCACCATCTATATATAAGATCTTTAGCAAGGCTTTCCATATTTTCTCCCATGACATTCTCAAGTTGAAGTTGGGACATTATTATTTATGCAGGTGGATGTCTAGATGATGTAAAGATGGTCGGCTAGTCAGACACAGAAAGTTGTGGTCAATGGGTTGGTTATTATGTGGTTATTGGGTTGGTTATTATGTGGTTAATGGGTTGGTAATTAATGTGGTTATGTTGGTTATTAACGTGGTCAGTGTGGTTACCTGCTTGGAAGGCTGTAGCAAGTGTGGAAATGGTGCGGTCTGTACTGGGACCTCTCTTGATACTGTTATCAGGGACCTGGAGGAAATAAGGGAGCTGCACCAATGTGCAGAGAGCAAATTGGGAAGGATCAGTTGATAGGCTTTTGGTAGTCAAGCTGCCTTTTCCGCAGCCTGAATGAGCTGGATGAATGGGCTGACATGGACTTTGTTAAATTGAATAGGAGCAAGAACCAGGTGCCAGCCTGGGGATAGAAGAGCCCCTGTGATGTCACAGGTTTGGCATCGGCAAGCTGGGAGCAGGTCTGCAGGTAGGGCCCTGGATCTTGGTGCCTCAGCCAGCAAAGCTCCGTGGGCTGTATGGGCAGAACCATGGCCAGTCAGTGCAGAGAATTATTCTCCTCAGTTTAGCACACATTAGACCATGCCTATAATACCGCATCCATTTTTGGCCCACCTGTTACAACAAAGATTTTGACAAACTGGAGTGAGTTTTGCTGAAGGCTGTCAAGTTTAAGACAGACTCAAGAGCAGTCTTCAACTGGTCCCAAGTTCATCAGCACATAACACATTCCTCTTCATGCTTTGTCTCAGTTCCTTTTGTTAGCTTAATGCCTTTCACTGCTCCTCTGCTATCAATATTTTATTGAAATGTCTTTGCCCCAACGTGTTCCATTTTTTTGGAACTGCACCATATAAAATCTCCCCTGCTTTAAAATTATTTTCAGCATGTGAAAAGGAATGCTGGAACTGTACACCAGGAGCATAACAATTACAAAACAAAACAAACAAAAAAAACCCCAACTTCATTCAGTCCATTTTTTCTGTAGTCATAGAAATCCAAACTTATATGGACATTTTTCTGGAAATTAATTCTGCCTGAGGCAAATGTCCTGCCTGAGAAAACCTAACTCTAACAGGATAAAGTTTGCCCAGAGTTCCAAGAAACTGAGAAAAATATTTCAGAATATGAAGTGTTAATCAGTTTAATATAGGCTGGGCCACCAGATTGGAATAACATATTTTTCTTCCATTTTTGTTAATTGTAGTTATATACATGCATCAAAAAAAAATGGAAATAGATTGAATTTTTTATGTTGCAAATTTGCTGCAAGAGTATTTTATTGTTGATAAGTTTTTCAAATATTTAGAAAATAAAATGAAAGTTTGAGTTCTTTTGAGGATGACAGATACATTTTAAAGACACATGACGATCTCCCCTTACAAATGTAGTGATACTATTTGACGTATTACTTGAGTTACCTTCCTTAACTAATGAAGCACTGTTCTTCCAAAATTAGGTTTTCTATTTGATGCAGATTCTGAAACTGATCCAAGTTGTATGAGTATAGAAATTGAAAAATAGATTATACTAAATCCCAAGGCTGAGTTGATGTCATTGTAAACTATTTCCATGTAGGACTTATTAAAGAAACAGAATTCTGTGGAAATCTATTAGAGAAATAGAGTTATTAGAGTTAAGTTTTGCAACTTAAGACTCTACCTATTTATGTGTGTTTTTTAACCAATTACCAAGCTTATAAATATATAATCCTTGGGGTTTAGGAATGGTACTCTGCAGTTTAGTTCTCCCACCAAGACTCAAAATCAGACTGCTGCTCACTCACTCCCCCTTCCCCTCCCCTTCCCACTCCTTTGGAATGGAGTTGAGAATTGGAGGCACAAAAGCTGAAAATCATGGGCTGAGATAAGAATGATTTACTAGAAACAGCAATGAGACAGAAAAATGAGCAGTACCAGCAGCACAAAGAAACAATTTACATGGAAAAGCCTGCAACAATATCCGGCTCTTCCCCACCAGGCTTTCTCCCCAGTGGAAGAAGAGAGAGTTCCTTACTCCTGCCCCTGGCAATGAGTGAGGTGGAGTGGAATAACATCTGGGCCTTGCCACACACTTCTCCTGCTTGCTGTGAAAAATTAACCCTGTCCTGGCTGAAACTAGGACAGGAAAAAAAAAACAGTTTATAGTAAAAATTGAGCAGTTAAGGTTAATATTTTTGTTTGTACTATTTATACACTGGTCTAAAATACTTTTCTTCGTTTTAAGGTAACTGAGCTGCACAATATCAAAAATATAACCAGATTGCCTCGAGAGACAAAGAAGCATGCAGTGGCAATTATCTTTCATGATGAGACATCAAAGACATTTGCGTGTGAGTCAGGTAAGTAATTGGTGCTTCATCTCTAGCTTGAAGAAATCAAGTTACACATCAAAGTCTGACTCGGATGAATTAACTCACAATGCCAGATAGAAATTCTTAGCTTAAAGAAATTTGTGGTAAAAAAAAAACTTTGGAGTTTGGGGTTCAGGTCTTTTGGGGTTCGGTAGGGTTTTTTTAATATATGATGAGAGCTGTTAGGGGTGTTACAGAGCTCTTTTTTCCATTATTTTTCTTTGCATGCAGATGGTTTAAAGACTGGAGGTTTCCAACTAAACTTGTAAATCTTAGTAAAAAATAACCTGTAAGATGTTATTAAGTCAAGAGGTGAAGCATTCTTTTTTTAACAAGCTTTGCTATAGGCAGTTGCTGAAGTAATAATTATCATGCCATTGCAAATAAGTAGCAAATACCAGCTAAAACCTCAGGATATTTTAAAGCAGGGTGTCAAGCAGTCTGTGGTTTGAATGACTCCATAGCATAATGACTAGACTAGCATAGAACAAGACTTGGACATTAGAGTACACAATGGCAGGCTGTTACTTGTGAGACGCTGAGCACTGCACAATTAAAGTGCACTATTTTCATTTGAAAGTACAATTGCACACATCTGTGTCCTACAGTATATTTTGGGCATATTTTAACAGAAAAAAAGTTTTTTAAAGGAGTGGGAAATTCTGTAATGATAAAGTTTGTGCTTTTTTAGTGACATATTTGAAACTTTGCATTTTAAAGGTTTATGTAGATAATACTACATATGTATATATATATGTATATGTATATAGGTTTGGGGTTTTTTAATATATATGTAACATTATGTATATATGGTGAAAGGCCTAGAAGAAAATCTATATGAGGAGTGACTGAAGTTACTTGGTCTGGAGAAGAGGAAACAGAGGAGAGACTTCACTGGAGTCTACAACTTCCTTTTAAGGGAAAGAGGAGAGGCAGACACTGATCTCTTCTCTGTGGTGATCAGTGACAGGACCCCAGGGAATGGCCTGAAGTTGTGTCAATGGATTTTAGGTTGGAATTAGGGAAAGGTTCTTCATCCTGAGGGTAGTTTAGCCCTGGAAAAGGCTCTGCAGGGAAGTGATGACTGCACCAGCCTGACAGAGTTCAAGAAGCATTTGGAAGTTTTTTTTGGGCACATGGTCTGACTCTTGGCACTGTCTTGTGCAAGGCTAGGAGTTGAACTCTATGATGCTTGTGGATCCCTTCCAACTCTAGATATTCTATAATTCTTTATCAATATTATCATATAAACATTGCATCATGTACAATCTAAATAATAAATTAAATACAGTGAAACAAAATCTGAGAAATGTGGAGGAGGTTAAAGGTGTGCAAGGTCATGAATTATGTAGCTTTTAGATCAGATATTGCAAACAGTAATATGTATATTCCATCATGAAAGATAGACTTTTTTTGTTAATTATTTTAAGTTTAGTGACACACATAGAAAATTTGTCTGTCTACAATTGCTTTAAGCGATCATTAGATAAGTAGCCCACATTAAAGATTTTGAACTCGAATTTGTAGAATTGATAGTGACTCTGTATTATGATTAATAATTGAATAAAAACATTTTAGTTATATTCCAACAGCACTGAAGTCAGTCCTGTGGAAATTTTTTCCATTTGCCTATGCATGCATTCCCCTTCTTTCCTAATGAGATCTTGTTCTTTCCCTAGAATTACTGTGGTTCAGATATATTTGAAAAGAGTGAGAGCAAGTCATGACTTCAGAATTCTTTCACCAAAGAAGGGACAAACCTAAGGAAGTTCAGCTTCTCTGGCCCACTCATCCCTTTCTTCTTTAACCTTGAACCCAGTTGTAAATGCAAGGCACATGTAGTACCATAAGGTGCTAGCAGGGTGTCAGTATGAAATGCTCTCCTTTTATGCTCTATACAAAAGTGTGTTTTGAGTGGACAGAACCCTGGGTGAAGTGTCAAACAAGTGGAGAGCTTGTGGACAAAGAACAAATTTCAGACCAGGATAGGTGATGTAGCCGGTGTCTGCTCTAGACCTTTTCATCAACAGGAGAAGGCAGATGAAGCAATCTCAGGGCAGGTGGAAAAGCCTTGTAGTCCCAGGCATTGGTGTTCCTGGGTGACTTTAACCTCAGCAGTAACTACTGCAAGGCCAATAAGGCTGAACACAAGCAATCCAGATTTCTGAAACAGATTGAAGAAAACTTCTTGACACAGATGATCAATAGTGTGATGAGGGGAGATGTTTGTTCAGGGACATGCTTGGCAGCATCCTGTGGATCCTTGAAGGGCAAAGGAGCCCAGGAGAGCTATCCAGTCTTTAAAGACAGCATCCTCTGAGCACAAGAACTGTTCTCCCCATTCTCAGAAGACAAGCTTTACAGGAGATGAGTATGAATGGATGTGGAGCTCCTGACTCGCTCAAACACACACAAGAAAACCTACAATGAAGCAGAGACTGACTCCTTGGGAGGGATACAGAGGCATTGTCTATTTACATGGGAATGGAGTTGAGCAAGCTCCTGCTCAGGCAAGTGCAAGATAGAAAAGGTTTCTTAAAGCACATCAGGAGAGAAATAAAGGCTAAGTAAGCGTGGCCCTATTGCTTGCTGGAACGGTCGACATAGTGACAAGTCACGAGAAAGGCTAAGGTACCTTTTCTACTGTGGTTTTCACTGCAAGGCTTTCACTCAGGCCTTCCAGGTCCCTCACCCCCTGAACTTGATGAAGTATTCATGGCAGAGGAAGGCATAGTGAGGCATCATTTAAATCACCTGGATTTCATACAAAAGTAAGGGGAGCTTGATTGTCAAGAATGACAAGAAGGAATATCCAGTTAACTGAACTCCAGTCAGCTCACCTCAGTCCCTGAGAACACTGCTGGATCAAATCACATGTAAAGACATGAAGGACAGCAAGGTGAATGGGAGAAGAAAAAAATACTTCCCATATGCAAATCATGTTTGCCATGATGAGGTGTCTGGCAAAAGAAAGGCAGTGATTCTTACACACCTTAATTGTAATGGTCTTTGACACCCTCTGTAGCTTCCTCCATAGCCCCCAAAATCGGTGGGGCACGGGATGAACAACGACACTATAAAGTGGACAGAAAATAGGCCAGACGTAAAAAACCAAGGTTGTGAAGCCAAGCCTGCAGCAAGGATGTAGTGGATCCCTAGAGTCAGTGCTGGGACCAATACTATTCAATGTCTTCATTGATAATCTGCATGATGTGGTGAGGGTACTCTCATCTGGTTTGCAAGTGACAACAGGCAGAGGTGACCCAATTTGGGAAGGCAGGGCTGCTTTCAGAGGGACCTGGACAGGCTGGAGACATGGGCTTGCAAAAACCTTATGAAGTTCAGCAAGAACAAAAGCTCTTTGCCCTGGTTTATGGTAATCCCAGCCATGAGGCAGGCTTGGAGCCAGCTGTTGGGAAGCAGACCTACTGAAAAGGCTCTGAGGTCGTGGTGCACAACACTCCCTGGACAGAATTAGTAAGGCTCTTCACAGCAGATACTGGAAAGTGATCCTTCCTTTTTATTCAACACTTGTAGGACCACATCTAGACTGCCATGTCCAGTTTTGTGCATGCAGCACATATTGACATATAGGAGTGAACCCAGGGGAGGGCACCAAGAGTCAGGAGCACATGACATAGGAAGAGAGATTGAGGGTTTATTCAGCCTGGAGAAAAAAATATTTCAGAGCATCTTATTGCTTATGTGATCTGAGAATACAGAGAAGATAGAGCTATAAAAGCATCAAATACCTGGCTGTTTCTGAATGACTACAAATCTTGGCTGTGAGCATAGTGGAGTTTCAATTAGTTTGCCTTTCTCCATGCCTTCAGTCTGTCTAAGCAGTATAGACTGCATGACATCTATGAGATGAGAAAGATACACAGTTTTGTTTCACTAATCTTTAACTCCAAATCTTTTGTTTTCTGAACTAGGAAGATAGGGTCCAAAAACAAATTTAGTTCCCAAGTCATTTCCACAGTGAATTCTGTCTTCTCACAAGGAACTGTTACCATTTTTACTGCTGTTGAAATGTGCCAAGTACTTGGCTTTCCTCTCTGAAACTTAACAAAATTTAAGGAATGTTTGAAGAACTTGCTTCTTATTTAAAATGGGTTTCTTTTCTTATCTTGCTTAGTGGCACTGGTTTATATGGAAAAATGCATAGACTTTTACAGCCTCACGGTGTATAGTGATGTACACACAATGGTATTTATTTTGGCAAATCTTCTTGCCACTTCTTTGGTTGACACAATAACTTTATTAATCCCTCTTCTTTCCAGTGGCTTCAGTGTCAAAAAACCACTCAAGTGGTTTTGACTCAAGGCAAAAATCTTCTAGAATCAACACTACTTGACCTTGAATTTTTTAGGGCTCCAGAGTTTCATAATGTGGAAATTTTTCTACCATGAAGCCTCTGAATATACAGAAGCAGATGCCTTGTTTCTTATCATCTTGACTTCCAGGGGCAGATGTAAGGAGAGTAAGGAGAGTAACATTAAACCCATTGCAAAAGATCTGCTGAGCATAGAGTCAACAATTTTTTGGAGAAAAGGAGAAAGGAATACTCAAAGCTGAGTTGATTTTAGGGACTGAACAATGTGAGGGAGGGGTTTTGTCAGTGTTGTACCATAAAATGATTTTAAATAAAGGTATCATTTTGGTTTTGATAGCAGGAGCTGATGCCTTCTCCTCTGTGCCATCTTAAAGTGCCAAAAAGCAGCACATTTTTCTGGCACATAGCTTTCTTAATTGTGGAATTAGGCACAATAAAATACTATTCTGTTTTAAAATAGGTCTCTAAAGATGCAGAACACTTTAGCTCTCCACAGAGAGCCTGAGAGCTCTGATACCAGCCCACTGGGTGTGCTGGCTCAGAGCCTGTGGTTTTTTCCTAAGCTCCTGCAGCTTTTAGTCCCTCATCTTGCTTATTGTCTTCAAGGCAGCTACTGGCAAATCTGAGCTCTGGGTGGGCTGTAACCCCTATA